GTAGCAGAAAGCACTTTTCTAAATTTTTTTGGCAATCATTTATTTTTCCCGCTTGTTCGTTTTGATATTTTTTTAGAAATTTTTTGATTTGTTTTTGAATATCTCTTTGAGCTTGTTGCTGAGGAGAAACAACTGAACCATCTTGAATTTTGGTAAAGGAACGATAGTCGTTGTCTATTCTTAATATTTCATCTTCTTCATCTCGTTGTAAAATATCTTTCAAGTTAGTTAAGTCAAACTTAATCATGTCTCCATCATTTATTTTCTCCGGAGAAATAATTCTAATTTTTTTGTAATTTTTTAAGCCAATTGCAGTTAAATCACTTTGGCATTTAATTAAATAATAATTGTTGTTGTTTTTGGGACTTCTCACAAAAATTTTCAGTGGTTCGGGGTGAAAAAGAGTACTTCTTTCTAAGGTTTGAAAACTATTTGCCGAAAGAATAAGCATTTTCGTTCCACTAGAAGCAGAAAGAAAACTATGGTTTTTAATCCTATTAATTATAAAAAAATACTCGTCTTTATCTTCTTCAATTATTTTTTTAAATTGTTCGTTGGAATTAGAAAGTCGAATTTTGGTAATTTTCTCTCCATTTCAAGTGTGAGGAAAAACCAATTCTATTTCTCAATTCTGGTTAATTTCTTGAATTTTACTAGCTGCAAAAAGAAAATCAATTTTGGCAGGAAAAATAACGAAACTGGGGGAATCAATTATTAATTCGCTAGTATTTGGCTCAAATTTAATTTCGCTGCTTTGGATATTTTTAACAATGAATAGTTTATCATTTTCGTCTTTTGATAGAGGCTTATAAATGGATTTAAGAACGATTTTATCGACTATTTTGTTTTCGTGGAGACATTCAGAAACTTGTAATTCAAGCCCTTGATTAGTTAACTTTTCTTTTAACAAATTAAATTTTATTTTCATAATTATAACTCTCTCTCTCTCTCTCTAAATTAAACAATATTTTTATTTTTTTCAAATGATTTAGTTTTTTTAAGATTTCGGTAAAGTTGAGAATTAAATTGACCTAATAAATTATGCTTATTTTGCCACGTTCTCGGTTTTTCTCCTAGCATTTTTGCTCTCATATATAATTTTTTTTACTCTCTTACATTATTTTTATAATGAACAGACGGAAAGTCACTTTCTTTATTCTACAGATGGAATAGGAGAAAGCTATACTTACCTTGTTTGCCCTCATGGCTGTGGAAAAATGAGTAAAAAAATAAATGACTGTGGAGACGAAAAAGAACTAGAACACGAGTGTCAAACTCATTCCACCTCAACCTCAAATTAGTCGTCATTAAACAAAACAAGAGAGAGAGAGAGAGAGAGAGAGAGAGAGAGAGAGAGAGAGAGCAAAACAGTGTCTATGCAGTGTGGTAACTGTGGAAAAAAAGCCAATGAATTATTTAAATACAAAGATAAATCTTATTGTAAAGAGTGTGAACAAAAATTAGAAACTAACGGGGCTGCTCCTTGACAAGACAAATGTGCTAAGTGCCATAAGGTAGTTAGTTTGCTGACCGATGTTTCTTGTCCCCATTGTGGCAATTCTTTGATTAGCAATCTTAAAAAATCAGCAAACAACAATTCTTCTCAATTACAAGAAAACCAACCACAAAAAAATAATTATTTACCCTGAATTATCGGTGGCATAATTGCTTTAATATTTATCGGTATTTTAGCTTATTTCTTAACTAGAAAACAAGAAAAATAATCTAATATTCTCTTCCTTGTTTTTCGGCAATGGCAAATGATGTATCAGACTTGACCATTCCTATTTTATAAGAAAATTTAGTTAGAGTAAACAAAGTGTTTTCTCCCATATTGCTTCAATTTTTTTGACAAAATGAATCTATGATTGCATAAGACATAAAGAGATTTTTTTTCTCAGTTAAAACCAAGTGAAAACCTTCTATCGGAGGACATTCAGTTATTGACTTTAAGTTAGTTATCTCTCAATATTTCTCTTTTTCTTTTTCGATTAGATAAAACAAATTAGTGCTAGCAATTAAAATTAAACTTTCTAATTTATAAAAGGAAGTTACTTTTCTGATTCATTTTAGTATATCTTCGTTTTTTAGTAATTGAATTGCTTCTTTTTTTTTACGAATAATGTGACCTTTTGTGTAGTTATGCTCTTTGGAAAACTCTATTCCTAGTCATAAATCTAATATACCAGCAATTCCTCGGGCTGATTCATGAATTACTTCTTTTTGTATTAGTTCCCTTAATTTCTTTTCGTCATTCAATGACTGAGATAATTTTGTCTGGTCTAATTTTCCATACATTGTTGTTTCTTTATTACCTTCTTGGCTTTTTTTATGTTCACTTCCAATCAGAGAAAAAAAACGAGAATGAAATCTAATAGCATTTTTCAACCCTTCTTCTTCACTTCTCATTAACTGGGTAATTTTTCGTTCAATACTTATTTCGTTATCTATAACAGGAAAAAAATATTTCAGTTCTTTTCCTCTAGCAAATATTGGCATTTTTTCTTCCTCTAATAATCAAGTTTCTCGTCCTTTGAATTTTTCTGCTCAATATTTGTTCTTTTGTATTCCTTCAGTAAGGCTAATTCCTCCCAGTTTCTTTATAAGTTCAAGACTCTCTTTATCATCAGAATAAAACTGTACATTCATCATCTGTTTTCTTTCTCCAATGATTTTTGCCTGTGATAAATTGCTTTCTAAAAAATGTTTATTAAATTCACTTGCTTCCAATAAAATTGCTCGTTCTCAATCTTTTTCTTTTCTTACTCACGATAATCCAATGGCTTGTAATTTTGCTTCTCGTATTTTTCCAGCAACCTCGGGGTCATATTTTACTACTAAATAGTTAATGCCCTTTTGTTTCCTACCATTTTCCATATCTAATTTTTACTATGGATTGATTATTTATCAAAGAACAAAAAATCAAGTTCTTCCTCTTCATAATTTAATGAGAGAAAATACTTTAATTTTTCTTCTACTTCTAGCATCAATTCATCAGAAAGAACTGTTACCAGTTCGTGTAATCTTTATTTATCAAAAGCTCTCATTTGGTCAATTAAAATTTTGCTTTCTTTGTCTTCAGTTAGTTTACCAATTTTGACTTCGAAAGGATAAATTTCTTTTATTTTACTAGTAATGGGCAAAACAGTTACTCTTTTGTATGCTTCATTATATCAATTACTAGAAATAATTAAGCACGGTCTTCTTTTGCCATTAATTTCTATTCCAACGTTCTCTCCATCAAAGGCAGTTAAATAAATCTCTCCTCGTTTTGGCTTAGGATATTTAACAGAAAAATTAGTTCATTCAGTTCATTGTTAACTTGACAAATATTTTCTATTTCTTCTTTAGTTATTTTTGTTTCTT